CTTTTTCTCATCTGATAGGGAAAAGGAATTTAATCTTTAATTAATCTTTATCTATTCCATGACCGGAGGAACTGAGAATCTGTAATACATATCTTTATTTTATTTCAGGACACATACAGTGGTCTGATTGGGCCTCTTGTAATTTGCAGAAAAGGAACTCTAGATGAAAGAGGTCTAAGGAAAGACATTGATCGCGAATTTACTCTTCTGTTTATGGTGTTTGATGAAAATGAATCCTGGTATTTGAAAGCAAATATTGAAACATACCTTCATAAGAATCCCGATGATTTTAATTCCACTGAGAACTTTGTAGAAGGCAACAGCATGCACGGTATGTAGGACTCAGTGGCTGCAGCCAAGAGGACAGAGGTTTATTTTTAGGAAAACATTGAACTTAGACTGCAGTTACTCAACCATGTGAGAACTTCATAAACTGCAATGCTGGAAACAAAAAGATTTCCTGAGGCCCAGCCAAGATATTTTTCTAACAAGATGGTTTAGTTGTATACACTTGGGAAGAGGCTGGCCTGCCAGACTTCCCTTGCTATTTGGGAGCCATGTTCTTCACAGGCTTGTTCTGTAGGAGTGTAAGGATGATATTTTAAAACTGTGGTTGTAGTAGCAACCAGCCCAGGAGCCAGGCAGAACAGACTGGATGGGGACACAAACAGCCCTGGCAAAGCAAACTTCTCTTTCTACAGGTGGTACCCATTTTGGCAACAATTCTATTTTCTTTTTTTGCCATGTAGCTTCTCAGCAAAAATCCTGTTTGTTCAGGAGTTCAATCTCAACCAGTAAAAAACTGATTTGATGCTTTTCAAGACAATGTTTGCTGATGTATACTTACACGATTTGGAAACATGCTGAAACAAAAGCATGACTGTTTCCCCGCAGTGGCAGTGGGTCACTATGGAGAGCCCTTGCCCTGACCATACATGCCTGTCCCCTCTCTGCCTGGCCACTCCTTCTTCCCCAAAAGTCCGAAGTGCCTCAAATGCAGGTTATCATCATCCATAAGATGGCCAGTTATTAATCATCTCTATTATGTCATTCTTCCAGCAATCAATGGAAAGATTTATAACAGTCTCTTGGGTCTAACAATGAATGAAGGTGACAGGACAAACTGGTATTTGATAGGAATGGGCAATGAAGTGGATGTCCATACAGTTCACTTCCATGCACAGACCTTCATCTTCAAGGTTAGTAAAATAAATCAAAGTAAAACTTTTATAATGTGATGGGAAATTTCTGAAAAAAACCAAACCAAACCAAACCAGGTTCCAGCCTTGTTTTGTAGCTTGGGCATGGAGCCCTGGGCTGATGCTGAGGTTGGTGGGAGTTTTGATGTGAAGGAAATAGAAAATGAATTATATTCTTGCAAAGCTTCTATAACTCTGAGGCATATTCATGTTATGAAACAGGAATACAGGGCACTATTAGAGGACATGGTTAAGTGGGTTAAAATACGTGTTTACCCATGGGTATAAGGGAAGATACAGGGACAAAATTAGAGCTACACCTGCTTAGAGTACGGTTTTATGTTGTGATAGCTTGCAGGCAGGACTACCTAAAAAAATCTGTCTTTCAAAGAAACACCTCTGCTCATCCAGTATCTGTAGTCATCAGGAGGAGTCTCCTGTTGTTATTTAGTGGATTAAATGAGAGGTGTCCACAGACCGCAGTTTCCCTGGATGAGACTCTCTTAGAAATGTACAAGAAGCAGCATTTCATCTCCCTTGAGGAGCTGGAAGTTTAACTGGAATATTTCAGTGCTTGTGGGGTTATTTGAGGCAACTCTCTGCTTTTTCCTTGCCACAGACAGATAAGGACCACAGAGGAGACGTATATGACCTTTTCCCTGGGACTTTTCAGACAGTTGAACTCGTAGCAGAAAACCCTGGAACATGGCTTCTGCACTGCCATGTAGCTGATCACATCCATGCTGGCATGGAGACAACCTACACCATCAATAAATCAGGTGCAGTATCAGAAACTTCCTAGGACTCAGAGATGGTATTGCAGCACATTTGGATGAATGGAAGGCAGGGAAGAAAGGAGGAGATCCAACGTCACCGCTGCACCCTGCACACACCCCCCCAATGACATGGCAAAGACAGTAATCTTTGCTGCACTCTGCAACTTAAAAACAGTTGGTGCTTCACAAGTGCCCTTCTGACACAGTGGCAGTCTGTGGACCATTAGTCATCCACAGGTGGTGCAGAAAACATCTGCAAAGCTGGTTTTCAGCCCTTTTTGCCACACAGTGAGTGGGAGGGCCTACAGACTAGCATGACTCTGGTTCCTCCTTGTGATCACTGCTGACTCACACAGGTAGAGACCAGCTGAGATAAAAGATGCTCCAGAAAATGATTGTTCATCTTGTCCAAGAAATAGGCAATCCCTTGACTAAGAAAAGTTGGCAAACCCTTTGAGTGGTGCTGGTCCCTTCCACCACATGTGAGTGAAGCCAAAAGTACTCTGTGAGCCTCTGCATCACGTAACTTCACTAAACATCGGGATCTGGCATGTCCTGCCTGGGTCCCCACTGTGCTGTCTGCACTCCTCTGCAGGGGTTGTGCCAGCAGGCACTCATACCTGTAACCACGTAGCAGCAGGATGAAAAATGTAATGGCCAAATGTATCCAAAATATTCCTTCCTTGGATAAGGTGAGTTTATTTTATACCACATATTCCTGTGGGCTGTGAAATTTCAAATGAACAAGCAAGTGCAGAACTGAATCATGGAATGGTTTGGGTTGGAAGATGCCTCATCTAGTTCCAACCCCTCTGCCATGAACAGGAACACCTTTCATTAGGCCTTGAACATCGCCAGGGATGGGGCATCCACATGTTCTCTGGCAACCTGTGACAGTGCCTCACCACCTTCATCATAAAAAAATTATTTCTTATGTCAAAGCTAAAACTACCCTCTTTCAGTTTAAAACAGCTACTCCTTGTCTTATCACCACAGTAAACAGTGAAGTAACAGAGATGCCTATAGAGAAGGGGGATGTTGCCCATGGAGCTGCCCAGAGCAACAGCTGTGCTGATCTAATCATGATTTCTGTTCAGATCAACTAGGTAGAAATAATTAAATAAAATCAGCATTACTTTTTTTCAAAGAGAAAAAATTATTTATTAAGGCTTTCAACTTAACTATGCTTTTCTTCTCCCTGCACAGAGTGGAAAGTTCCATCAGAAGGAGGACTCACAACTGGAGCATACAATACAACTACTGCAACAAATAGAATCACTGAAAAGGGTAAGGATTTTTTAAATTGTCATTTCAAATTCTTCAGATTCATGCGTAGCTTTCTTATCAACAACTTCTCTTTTAACAGATGATGACAGCAAGGGGGGCAATTTTTTTGGCAAAACTCTGAGTCCTGGAGAAACCAGCCTGATACTTGCAGTTTTTTTTTTCATTGGACTTGTTCTGCTGTCAACGGCATTAATCTTCTTCTGCCTCGTCACCCATCAAGGAAACAGGATCCATTACATGGCTCTGCATGACAAAAGTGCACTTCTGACAGATTCCTTGTAAATGCCCGCTTTTAATATCATTCACAGGGCCACACTGGATTTCACAACATAGAATCATAGAATCATAAAATCATTAGTGTGGGAAAATACCTCTAAGATTACTGAGTCCAACCATTAACCTAATACTACCAGGTGACATGCTGCTAATGAAACTGGAGCAAGGCCTATGCTGATAGTCCTACCCCATAGCCATCACTCACAAAAGTGAACATGAGCTGTAGGGCTCAGCTCTGAGAACCACTTACCACCCACCACCACTTCCAGTTCTCTGGAGTTCAGTTGAGCTTTGCTGAGATCCAATCCAGCAGCTGAGCAGAGCAGCACACCTCTTGGCATCCACATTGGCTACACAGGATTTCCACAGGAGTAAGGAGCAAACGGCAGGGCATTCATGCACTCTGTGCAGAAACATGGGGCTCACACTGGGAAAAAAACACCACCAGGGACTGTTTTAAGTTGTTGGCTTCTGAAGGAACAGGCGTGAATAGTAAAGTCCCTGCAGTTTCCCAAAGTCTGGCTCAACGATTTCACCAACATTTAAGTGATTCTCCCTTCTTTTTCTTCCCTGTCAAATGAGGAAACTCTGCAGTGGGACAGATTTTTGAAGGCATTTAGGGACCTACCAACATATTTTAGCACCTGATGGGTTCAGCAGTGCCCCTGTTGATAGCTTCTAACAGCTTTTATTAATCTCTTTAAAAATCTAGCCCTGAGCAGCCTCCAAGAAAGTTAGTTGACTTTATAATTGCTGCTTGTTGTGATCCTGATTCTGTATCTCTTCTTTGCACCAAGCAGCACCTCACTCCCTACCTGTAAAGAAGCCATCAGGAGGCTGACCTTTGTGCTCTGCGAGGGAGACAGGCAGAATCAGGCCATGTTTAGTGATACTTGAATGTTTATAGCTCATTTTTAGTTAGACAGTGCTCATTCTTGCCTGCTCATGCCAGCTATAGGTCTTGCAGAGGAACTCCACAACAAATGCCTTTGTGAAACTGTTTATCCAAATTTGATTTTGAATGTAAATTCAAGTTGCTGGTGGTTTTTTTTTTTAATTTTATTTTTTCCACTTCTGTATTTTGAAGTATATTCAAATGCAGGAAGCTTAGCTGTGTTTCACTCCTGCTGTAGCTTAATGGTGTCCTGCACTGATGTCCAGTCAACTAACATGTTGACGTTTCTTGGATGTTTCTCAGATGTTTCTCAGTTATTTCTCGATTCTTTTTCTCCTCAATCATTTAAGAGCACACATGAGGCAGAACTGCAGGACTGAGCCGTAATAGAATTTATATCATAACAACAAACACTTACAAAATCCTTCTCAAAATCTTCCATTTGAGCTGGCAAAACCAGATACTCTAAGCCCTTCCATCTTCTTGTTTTGTAAGCATTAAAATTGGGGTCTCCTGTTCTGTGCAAAAAGACTGTCTGTCTATGCAGAACATTTGTTCTCTGTTTACATATAAAATTAAAGCCTTTCACTTAAACATGCAATATTAAGAAAGGAAATTATTTGGTACTTCCCTTCTTGAGTAGCTAATGCACCTGATGTTCTAGAAACAGAGTTATAAATATCTTTTGACTGTAGAAACTAGCCAGCCAAAGTGATTATAATGATAATAAAAAATCCAGTTATTTGTATGGACCTCCTGGCACAATTCTCAGCTGGATGGTGGCCATGAAACAAGAACGAAGCCTCCGAAGGGCCCCAGGACGTCACCACTGCTGGACCAGTGACACAGCCTGCCACAGAGATCATGAAGCATCACAGAAAGCTTAAAGCACTGAGTTTACCATGGCCTGCCTGGTGCAGGCAGCCCTGTGCCAGCTGTGCCCTAACACTTGTGATGAAGGACAGCATTTCTGTTGGTCTGAAGCACCAGCAGGAACAGAGTTAAGAAACAAAATGAACAAAAGATCAAGTCACTAGAGCAGGCATGTTCTCCACATATTGCTACAGGCCCTCAAGTATGAAAGATCTGGATTATGAACTCGGGTAGCCGTTGGGAACTGTCCTAGAACCGAAAAGTTTCCAGAGCAATAGGCAGCTCTATCAGTCCCACAACACAAGCTGGGCTGAAACCATTCTAAAAAAAACCAAACCCAAAAAACAAACAGAAAAGTGGCCAAGGGAACAAAAGAGAACATGGAAGAATTTAAACTTTTTTTTTTTACTAGAGAAAATTGTGCCTTGGGAAGGTTTTTGAAGGATTCAGTGCATAGATAAGAGACTTGGAAGAATATAACCTGCTTACATTTCCATAAGATGTTTGAGAAGGTCTTTATTAAAGCTTCTTAAGGAAATGAAATCACAATGAGATGAGATGAAGAGTCCATGGAGGTTAATTAACTGGTTAAAAGGCAGTGAAAAGTGGTCAGATTTCATGTTGACAGTTACTCATGGAGTGCTACAAGTACTTGCTCTTCAGTATTTTCTGTAATTGTTGTGAAAAAGGGTGGCCAAGTTGAGGGAGAATCTTAAGTAAATGTAGCATGAAAAAATAAGTGATAAAAAGACAAAATTTAGTACCAATACATTTACAATATTACTTTGTGGAAAAAAGCAATCCTAGCCTTATGTGCATCATACTGTCTAAGCATCTCAGAAATAGGATCTTATTTGTAGTAGTTTAATGGCAACATTATGTCCAGTTTTTTTTAGTGGGTGGAAGGGCAGTTCAATACTAGGAATCACTAAGAATTAACACAGCAAACCAGAAAACCACTTAGTACCATTACATAAATGTCTGAGGCACCTGCATCTTGAATGTAGCATGGGTCAAATCCCCAACCACATCCAGGCAGCAGCACAAGACCAGCACAGAATGAACAAGAAAGGGAATCAGTGTTGTAGAAGAGTTTCCATATGAGGTATGATTTCCTTGGATTATGGCTTGGAAAAAATAGAAAGGAAAATTGAAAACAGATAGGATGGTGGGTTTGTAAAGGGACAGTTGAGTGGAGAAGGGAGCAGTTTGTCCTTTTTGGCAGAAGCAATGAGCTGGGGGAGCGTTGCATGAAAGCACAGAACAGGAGTTAGCTCTTCATGGGGCAGACAGCCACCTCTGTGACTCCTGGGCTGAGAGGGCTGAAGATACTCCAGGTTTACAGAGGTCCAGAAACCAACAGGAAAAATACAAGGGTGAAAATTAAAGTTATTAATTTTCTGACTGACTCTCCCAAAAAGTGACCTCAGAAGTGGTGATCAAACAGTTTGGGTAGGGAAAACACCACAGCACATGGTGGTAGGTTAGTGGCTTGGAGCATCTGTCTGACTGTGCTGAGACAGCTGGGGCTCATCAGCCTGGAGAAAGTGGCCCAGTGGATCTTCACAGTGTGTGCAAACAGTTGATGGGAGCATAGCATGGGTGGAGCCAGGTTCTTCTTGGCGGTGCCTTGTGAGAGGACCTGAGCAGATGGGCACAAACTGTGACACAAGAAGTCTCCATCCAAATGCTGCACCTGGGTCAAGGCAATCACAGATATGAGTACAGACTGGGAGAAGAGCTCATTGAGTGAGTCTCCTAACTGGAAGTTCTCATGGATAAAAAGCTGGACATGAGCCAACAGTGTGCACTCACAGCCCAGAAGGTCAACTGCATCCTGAGCTGCATAAAAAGCAGTGTTGCCAGCAGGGCAAGGCAGGTGACACTATCCCTCTGCTCTCATGAGACACCACCTGGAGTACTGCATCCAGCTCTGAGTCCCCAACATAAGGACATAAACATGTTAGAGCACATTCAGAGGAGGCCACAAAGATGATCTGAGTGAGGGCTGGAGCACGTCTGCTAGAATACAGACTGAGAGATTTGGAATTGTTCAGCCCAGAGAAGAGAAGACTCCACAGAGACCTCACCATGGCCTTCTAGTACTTAAATGGGGCTTATAAAAGAGAGGGACAGCAACGTTTTACAAGGATATGCAGTGATAGGACAAGGGGGGAATGGCTTTAAACTGAACAAGGACAGGTTTAGATTAGCTATTAGGAAGAAATTCTTTCCTATGAGGGTGGTGAGGCACTAGCACAGGTTCCCCAGAGAAGCTGTGGATGTCCCATCCCTGGAAGTGTTCAAGGCCAGGCTGGACCGAGCTCTGGGCAACTTGGTCTAGTGGGAGGTGTCCCTGCTCACGGCAGGGGATTGGAACTAGATAATCTTTAAGGTCCCTTCCAACCCAAACTATTCTGCTATTCTGTGACCCCTGGGGACACCCCACGGCGCCCGGCATGGCCCAGATCCCCTGCTCCGAGTTGGGAGGGCCGCACGATCCCAGTTCCCGCCAAGAGGCGCGGCCCAGCCCGGGCACAGCATCCCCAGCTTCGCCATGCCCGGGCGGGACCGGTCCAGGCTGCGGGGGCGCTGCGGAGCCGCGCCGGGCGGAGCCGCGCCGGGCGGAGCCGGGCACAGCCCAGCCCAGCGTAGCCTAGCACAGCACAGCCCAGCGCAGCACAGCCGCGGCGTGCCGGGCCAGGCAGGGCCGTGCTGAGCTGAGCCTGGCCACGCCGTGGCCGCCATGGCCATCGCGCACATCGCCACCGAGTACGTCTTCTCTGACTTCCTGCTGAAGGAGCCGCCGGAGACGCGCTACAAGGGGCTGCGGCTGGAGCTGGCGCTGGACAAGATCGTCACCTGCATCGCCGTGGGGCTGCCGCTGCTCCTCATCTCCCTTGCCTTCGCTCAGGAGGTCTCCATCGGTAACCCCGGCAGCCCCTCTCCCGGCCCGCGGCAGACAAAGGGCTCGGCGGGCGGGGGGCGGCGGAGCGGAGCTCGGGGCGGGGGGACAGCGCTCCGGGGGTTCCCGCTCGGGGCAGGGCGAAGGGCGCCTTTGAGCCGCGGGGAGGAGAGCTGCCTTCCCGGGGAGCATCCGTGGCAGCAGGCGGTGCCTCCGTGCGGCTCACCCAGGTGTGCTGGGCTTCCCAGCCAGCCCTCCCTGCGCTTCCCGGTGCCCTCCTCCTCCCTGGGGCGTTCCCTGGCCGCTGCCGTGCTCCAGCATCTCCCGAGCAGG